GAAAAAGTTTTGGGGTTTTTTGGGTACTTTTTTTTTTAGTTTTTTGCAAAAAGCACCTTTTTTGGAAAAACCCTTTAGGGGGCCCCAAGGGGGGGGGGGGGGGGGGGGGGAAAAAAAAAGTTCCGGGAAGGGGAAAAAAAATTTTTCCCCCCCTTTTTTTTGGGAAACCCGGGGGGGGAAAAAAAAAGAAGTTTTTTTTTTTTAGCCTTTGGGGGGCAAAATTCCCTTTTTTGGGAAATTCCTTTTCCTTTGACGGGTTTTTTTTTTTTTTTTTTTGGGGGGGTTAGGGGGGGAAAAAATTGGCGGGGTGGGGGGGGGCTTTTTTTTTTTTAAATGGGAAAACTTCCCCCCCCCCCATTTCACGGGGCCCCCCCCCCCCCCCGGTTTCATCCTCCCTCTTCTCCCCACTCTCTCTCTCTCTCGTCTCTCACCTGTCGCATGCACGCCTCCATCGCGCCGACGTACTGCTTCTGGCTCACCGAAAGGTTTTCCTCCACCTGTACACGGGTGAACAAAAACATGAGACGAACCATCGCCGCCAGTCTTCATAGTTAGAATGGGGACCAACAGGAGGTACCAGGCCAGACAGGATACACCCAGGAGGAAAAGGAGAGCCACGAAAAAACACGACAGCATCATCGCCGTGAAAGCCGCACCGACGAATGGTAGTCGTACAAGCCTCCTTCGCGCGCACCACTAGAAGGTAGCCCATCTTTGGCAACAGCCCCCCATGGCACGAGCGATAGCGCCCCGAACGTCTTCCTTCGAAAAAAAAAACACAATCACAATTTTCCGCCGCATGTGCACTCTCGGTAGCCCGCAAGCGTCTCTTGTAACTTGCAATCTTCCCTCATGATACTTGTAGCTGGGCGCTGTTGCCGAACGCGTGGTTCGTCCAAGGAGAAAAGGAGCAGGAGAAGCTTCAAGAAGCTTCTTCGCACACGCCGAAGACGACATGCAACAGGGGACCCAAACAGAACAAAACTCGAAGACGATAAGAGAACCGGGGCATACACGGCGCTGGCAACCCCCTGTCTTGGTGTCGTCCCAATTGATGCAGGTATATGCTTCAGTTGTACCACCCCCTTTCGACTCAAGCTTACGGCCCAATCTCACCCCAGAAAACAAGAAACCGCTCGCGCTTCCAGTGGGGGGGGGGGCACGTCGAAAACGTTTCGCGTCTATCTCGGTACCACTTGTTAAAAAAAAAACATCTCTCACCATCAGCCGCAGGGCCCGTAGTGCGACACCCCCTCTCCCGCTCTTGGTCGCCTCCAGCAACAACTGCCTGAGAGCTCTGTCTTCCGCGGATTCAAAGGTGGCCACGCCACCGCCCCTCGGCCTCTTTCTTGTCGCCCTCTTACCGCCACTACCACCGCCACCGGTACCACCGCCGCGGCCGCTACCGCTGCCGCCGCCGCGGCCGCCGCCGGTGCTGACCGTAGCCCTCCGGCCTTCGTCTGGGTCGACCCTACCGGCCCCGCCCGTCACACCACCGCTGCCGCCCTCCGCGCTTGCCGCGACGTCGAAACGAACCCCGCCGAACGCGCCCGTTGCAGCACCAGCGCGGCTGGGAGGTGGATGCGGTGTCGCCGCCCCAGGCGCCGCTACCCTGCGGCCGGACAGCTCCTCTTGCCCGCCTCCTTCGACGGTCAACACCGCGGTGGCGGCAAGGGCACCGGGGGGATCGGCGGCGGAGGCAACGCCGGTGGCGTCCACCGTCAGAGCCGTTCCTCTTCCTGGCGCTTTCGTCTCTACCTCGGCAGCACCGCGTCTTCGGCCCGCCGGGGGGGGGCGACCCCGCTCCCGCTCCCGCTCCCGTCCTTCCGGCTGCTGTGGCGGAGGCGGTTCTACGACCTCCGGAAAGGGCCAACCATGGAGCGCCGGACACAGCGCCGAATACGCCGCTGCCGCCGCCGCCGCCGTGGCCGCCGCGCCACTACCATCGGCATCGCTCGACACGGCGGGCGGACGTTCGGATCGATGTCTCCAGGTGTCCGGATTGGATGACGAGGTGGTGTCATTGCTCCCTGGCCGACTAGTCGTGCTGCTGCCAAGCCGCCACGAGGCCGGCCTCACGACGACGCCCCACTCGAACAAGCCTCTCCGTTGTTGTACCTCGCTCGAGGAGGACGGGCCGACCGTCCACCACCTGGTCTTGATCTGTCCCCCCGCTAGTCGGGGCACTTCTGCCGCAAAGCCTAGCCTGCTGCTGCTGCTGCTGCCAAGCCGGGAAGACAAGAGCGCCAACGACCGCCGCCGCCGCCCGGCGGCGGCGGCAACACCAGGGGGGTGGCCACGCCTGCGCATCACGCCCGCCGTGTTGCCTTCGACACCTAGCCCTACACCATCACCGTCGTCAGCTCTTCCTCGTCCGCCGCTTCTCTCCGGACTGCTGTGTCGGTTCCCGCTGGCGGAGGAGGCGAAAGCCGCCGTGGGTCGGCGAGGCGGCGGGGCCATCGCCGCCGGCCCGCCAGAAGCGGCCGGCGTTGTGGCCGCGGCAGTTGACGCCAACACCACAAAGGCGGGCACTACCGTTGGGTGCGGCATTCGTCTGGGGGGGGGTGGGGGGGGGGGTACGGGGGGGTGGAGGGAAGAACGTTCACTCTTTCAAGTGTAGCTCGGATAAGGCTCCACGCCTGTTGTACCTTGATAAGCTGGAGGTTGAACGCTGCTACATATTTAAGTGACAATGCTTGACGTTGCCGAGATACTGCTGTACGTTCACGCAAGAAAACGCCAACATTGTGTTGCGATTTTTGAGGCGCAACACTAGAGGATACATCGCCTGTCTAAATACTTGTAGTCATGCTGTAGGGTATGTATGTAGCACACACATATGTATGTACTGCTGTCACGCCGGTATTGTAGCTGTTGTGAACATCAGGGTTCGGCCGTGAAGCTCTGGCAACGTACAAGGACATGGTTCCTTGAGATAAGAAATACCACATATGGAGTCAGCCACTGCTGCTGTTACCTTGATTAAACCTCTGCACTTCAACATGTATACGCAGGTTGCATGTGTACAGTACCTCGTCTAGACTTGCAGGTCTACAAACGCAGCAGCAAGACTACAGCAGATGAGGTCTACACTACATATGGGTCTATCTGGCAGTTACGATAGGCCGTCCACACAAGCAGCACACGAACAAGGCTGCACTACGTGCTCCTATGTGCGAATGCATGAGTAAGTGCATTGGCAGCAATGAGGACAGCGGGTGGGTGGTACAAACGAAGGGGTTAACCATGCTCGCTGATTCGGTTGCAGCAGTGTGAAGACACCATGACACATGATGCCGAGATGCTGCATCAGAACTTCGGTCTGACCAGTTACCCTTCTCAGACTTCAAGAACAGGAGAAATCATGTGCGAGATACGTACAATCAACAAGGTTATTGGCAACAGGCAGTAGTTTTTCCCCCTCGTCCCGACCAAACGGTTCTCACCTTCTTCGTCGCGAACTGTCGGCCATGCTGCAACTCACCCACTGCTGCTCATCCGCCGTGAGTGCTGTACTGCCAGCGCACACTTCAAGGCGACGTGCGTCGTCAACTCTCGCAACAGCCGTAGACTGCTGTTCCTGCAATCCCCAAAAGCCTTGTCACGAACCACACCACCGAAAGGCACTTGCCCGTCTACAGGGGGGAAGACAAAGAGAGGGAAGGGTGTCTAATAAAAGCGGGTGAGCGACCACCGGGCCCGAGAGAGAGGAGGTGCCACATCAGACATACATCAACGCACAGCAGCGGGGAGAGGCTGCACACGAAGCCCCCCTGGGAGGTACTTGATGCTCTCTGTGGGGCCCCCTACATAGCATGTTTCGTTGGTGCGACCCACCGCACCACACTACGCTCTGCTGACCCTGCGATAGAAGTGCTCTGCAGGTTGTCTGACTCCGCCTGCGGTGCGAGCTTTGTCGTCATCGCAAGAGAAGCAGCGCCGCTCTCTGTTCGGCGTGCTGCCCGAACAAAAATCGGCGTCAATACACGCTCAACGGCTCAGCAGAGCGGAGACAGACAACCTTGGTTGAAGGACGGGGCAGCGAGTGAGAGACGTTGAGAGAGAGACACCCAGGGGCGGGAGCGGGGATCGTGCTCATGTGGAGGAAATGGGGCGTCGTCCCCCTCATCCTAGCTGCTGTTGTCGTGGCTGTACAAGGAGATGAAGCAGTCAAACCCGACCCCGCAAGGGCATACGCGTGAGTGCTGCTGCTGCTGCTGCTGCTGCTGCTGCTGTGCGTGTAGCCGAGGTTGTGCTGTGTGACGCGATCATGTTTCCCCTGCTGAGCGAATTGTCTCTGGTGTGAGTCCTCTATCCGCTGCCAGCCTTTCGCGTCTGGAAGCGAGAGCCTCCGCTTCGTGCTCGTTAGAAGCCGAGCACACGCAGCACTCGGAATGACAATGCTGAGGGTAAGGCGAGCAGCGTTTCCTATTGTAGTGTTCATGGGCGGAAGAGCGGCAGCGGTCTACGCTACACAAGCCTTTGTCAATACTGCTGTAGTGCGATCACATCAGCATCGCAGCTTGATGGACTCTACTGCTGTAGCCTCGAGCAGCTTCCTGTCGGCGCTGGTGGTGTGGGGAGTAGCTGGTACACAGACGGTCTACGTGTCCACGTGTCTGGTTGTTGAACGATTACACCGCATCACGTCCCGCCCCCTTAAGAAGCGCCGTCGCCATCTGTGTGACCCCGGCTCGCATCCGCTGCATGCCCAAAAGACAGAAAATAAGGCGGGGGGGAGATGGGCGAGGAGACAAGACCTTTGCGCAGACGTGATGCGTCATAGCATGTAGACGGGGGTGTTACTGCTTCTGCAGCCATCGCAAGACTCAACCGACCTACTCACTCTCTCTCTTGTCTGCCTGGTCCCTGTTTCTGTGCCTTGTGTGCGTCCGTCTGTTTTTTGTCTGTCCGTCTGCGTCTCTCATGTCGGTACGGCGGGGGGGCGTAGGCACTTCGTGCAAGCAAACACGTACTACACCGACCAGGAGCTTGAACGGTGAGACAACTAACAACCTACGCTGGCTAGGTGCCCCCGGCAGACCCCTATCTGCTTCGTTGTGTGTGATTCTACCTAGCGCCTCATATCTTCGGTGGCATGAAGAGACATTGAGGGTTTGGAGAGCTCGTCCCACGCAGACGTTCTGTTCGAATTTTATCGTCTTGTTAGGAGCCTTAGCTGGTGTTCATATGGCGAGAGCTATTGCGTCTTGTTCTGTGCATCCATCCATTGGACTGAAATTTGGGGACACCACGGGATGAAGAAACGTTGTCGGATGATGCGCCTCCTCCTCATCTCACTTGACATTGCTGCACGCAGGCGCGCAGTTTCTGTAGCTGTAGCTGTAGAGTTGCGGTGCTGATTAGCTTCTGAGAGCCGGGTGTCTCTTTGATCTTGCGTCTTCAATCATCCCCCCCCCCCCTCACCCTTTCTCTCTCCCGGTTGTCTCTGCTGGAAAAAGGGCGGTGGAAGAGTACAAGACGGCCCTCAAGTTCGACCCCTTACACGCGGACACCATGTGCAACCTCGGCAGCGCTCTTCAGGACCTGGGTGACTATCCGCTCTCAAGGTGTGGAGAGGGCGTTCTAGTTCCGGCATGTAGTGGGGGACTATCCCCTGTCAAGGGGTGGCTGTCCCCTCTCAACGTGTGGAGGTAGTGGGTGACTTTCCCCTCTCAGCGCGTGGAGGGTGTTAAGTGTATTTGATGTTCCGATGTGTAGAAGGTTGCGTTATCCTGTTGTTATCCTCGGAAAATCGGGTGGCCTGATGAAAAGGCGCCAATTTTCGCTGGACAGAGGGCCAAGATATGTACTGCTCAAATGTGATTTCCTGAACCTTGCCATGACGTGATAACACAACGTCTGATAGCGCCAAATGAAGATAGTAATGCACCTTCGCACGGGATATCAGAACAATAAACGCGGCGGGGCTCTTGTGTGCACATTGTGTTCATGTGCATCTGATTCGAACGCGTCAATGCAAGGCCGTCCTGGCACGTCCCTTGGCCGAGGTGGTGGCTTACATGGAGTGTGCGTTCTTTTTTGGTAGCGTGTGGTGGTCCTACGTATCGGCAGAGGTCGGTGGGCGCTTTCAAGCTCAGGTTGAGCTTTGGGTGTTACCGTCAAATGATTTCTTCCCTTTGTGTTTGTGTGTTGTTGTCGTTTGTGGCGATGGTGGTTGTTGAGTTTCTAGGCCTGTTGTATTTTTCCGTGGTTGACATCAAACATGATCACCCTTGGTTCCTCTTCCTAGCACGTCCACAAACATCATCCGCACCGGTCCTCAACATGTACACGCCATCATGTGCCCGTTGTCAGGCACTACTACTCCAAGGCCGTGCAGGCTAATCCATACCACGCCGTGGCGCACTTTAACCTGGGCCTGCTGCTGCACGACGAGGACATTGACACGGCCATCGAGCACTATCAGGTGGGAGGTGGTTAACAGTCGAAATCTTGTGCGAAACAGATGCAGCAGTCGATACAGCAAGCAAACCTCATTGTACACATTCCAGAAGTATTCCAGAGAGTATATGTTCTTATGGTCGCATGGTTTCTTGTTTCCTTTTGAGCAACCCGAATAGTATCTCCTCCGCAGAGGAAACCTGTTGTCCTTGGAAGGTAGGCGGGTTCCACTGGCGACGATGCTCTATATAGAATGAACGTCAGCAAGAGAGCACATCTGCCTGTCTCCGTTGCCGAAACGTGTCCAATCCGATTCTTATATTTTGTTCCCTGAAACAGCAGCGAGCTCGTATCGGTTCAGCTCGATGGAAACAAACAGGCGTTTCGGGGTCGAGTGCATTGTCGATTCAACTTAGCAAGACCTCGAATCAAAAACACGAACCCCTGACAACCGAATCAAGTCTAATCTAGACGATGATGTCAAGCGTTGCGGGACGTTTTCATTCGAACCACCGCTGTCGGCCGTGCCATCCGTACCTAAAAGAGTGCCGTTGAGATGGACCCGGCTATGGCGGACGCTTGGAGCAACCTCGGCAGCGCCTACCACCGCGAGGACGACCTGGAGGATGCCTTGGGGTGGTGCGTGCCCACCGTGATGCTTTAAGTCAGAACAGAAACCCATTCAACAGGTTGCCACATGTCATGACCAAAGCCAGAAAAGAAAAATTAACAGGTTGTCACGTCACGTTGTAGAGCCGGCACGAACATGCTCGCCAGCATCTTGTTGGTAAGTAGTCGCATCCGTGCTTGGCGGCGTTTGCTTTTTTGAGGTGCATGCTGTTGTGAGCGAGATTTCAATCATTATTAAGGACACAGACTCCTGTGCAGACCGCGCCATATTTGACTGTTGTGATGCTTTTGTTGAGGTTTGCTCTTGTCGGGGGAGAGGCGTAGCCTGTAGGTACTTCTGAACGGCGAACAGAGCATGGAGTGCGAAGAGCTGTGAACCCCGCGGTGTGTGTTAAGAGAGAGTGGAAGAGAGGCGGAAACATGGCATTCCACCGTACACAACCAATCGCACCGACCCTACCTATTGAACGAGGACTTGCTGCTGTACGAGGGATGCATGGTTCACGGGGGACAGATGGCTACAGCTGGAAGCTCAACATCCGTACTGTACCCCCCACGACACACGCCATATTCTCCGTTTTGGTTGCATCCTGCTGTGCCCCCTTTTGGACGCGGCGCTCCGGGTTTCCACAGCTACCAGGAGGCCATCAGACTTTACGAGACGGAGGAGGCTTACCAGGGGCTGCCGTTCACCGACGATGTCCTCGCTACGCTTAACTACCACGTCTCGGTGGGTGCCGCTGCAGCACAGCTGTCTATGCCACGTGCAGCGGGCAGCTTGCAGTGCAAATATCTGTAGAGTGGTGTGTGTGTACATGTGGTAGATTTGTTGCAGGTTGTGTTGGAGATGTCGCACGCGTCGCTCATCCTTTGTTCGCGAATCCACGAACACTTCTGCGTGCTGTGGTGTGCGTTTGCGATGATGGTTTTCGGCTCTCATGTTTTCGATGCTTCCGGTGTGGGCAGATAATCCTGGGAAGACTACCCGACGGGCGCTGCCTGCAGGGGGGCTGCTTGTCGCAGAGGATGGAGATTCTCCGGAGATGTCTCAGGCACGATCCGGAGCACGCTCTGGTGAGACGGCGTGTGGCGTGGTGATGGGATGAGATAGGACGTACGTGAGATGACAGGACATCCGTGAAACCTGACTTGACCATGGGACTTGTCGTGTGTGCGATGATCGGATAGGTGCAACAGTATTGAGATGAGATGAGAATATTGGTGATGTCAGAAGACGCATGTCATTTCATCAAATGATGAACATTTATCTGGGCTGCTGCTGCTGCTGCTGTTGTTGTTGCTGCTGTGCTGTGGCCAATGGCGTTGTATGTCTGCCGATGGTTTCTGCTCTTTTTTTTTTCTCTCTTGGCGACGACAGTGCAAGCACAACCTGGAGAGCGCCCTGGGGGACTCGAGCATGACGAAGGCTTCTCCGGAGTATGTGAAGGTCAGCTTCCCCTACGGTAAAGCTTAGCTGGAAAGTAGGTTTGGCAAGAAGGAAAAAAACAGTCGAAAAGGGCTCTGTTTTCGTTGTGTCTGTGTGCGTGGTCGCTCCTTTTACGAAGCGGCGAGAGCTCAACGGCGGGTTGCTTGCAGCAAGCATGTGGATTTCTGTCGTGACTGCTGTCGTTTGTTGTTTGGTGTCGTGGAGGGCTGTTGGTTGCTGTTGTTGGTGGTGTTGTCCACGGGCTTCTATGGTACCAGGCTGACCAAAATCAGAACCGCTGTTCGTGGAAGCCTTTGAAAGTGTCCAGTTTGCGCCAAGAGCGATCCTTCGACAACGACGAGACTCCTGTTGTTCTTGATGGTGTTGATTATTTATCGCTCTGGCTCAACCCGTACCACCTACAGTACGCCGTTGACCACGACACCACGAAGCCCCCGACGGAACAATTTCGAAAGGGAGGCACGTCCGCCCACCGGAGAACATGTTCCTTGTTTGATCACGCGGGACCCCGTTGCCCGTTGATTCCATCCCACCAGGCTCTTTTCGACTACTACGCGGTTTCTTTCGACGAGAGCCTCAAGGGCCTAGACTACTCCTCCCCGGAGGCCCTGCGGGAGGTGCTGGGGGGCTTGAGGCCGCGCTACGGCGAGGTCTTCGACGCGGGGTGAGAGGATGATGTTTTTTTTGCGCATTCCCCCGGGGTTTCGCTCGCGTGTGCATGCCTGCATTCATCCTATATGGAGAGAGGGGCAGCGTTCAAGAGCTTGGTCAGGACAGCACGTGTTCGTGGTTCAAATTTCGCGTGGTACGTACACGAGGGAGCGTTGTGTGTCCGCCCGACCCGTGGAGATTCTGAAGAATTACATTAACGACCCCCCCCCCCCCGCATGTTCTCCCTTCCCGTCCCACCTGATAGGTGCGGCACGGGTCTTTTGGGACCTTTGTTCCGGGACATCACAGGTACTGCACAGATTCTTGAGTTGTTCTTGTCGAAACGTTGCGTTTTCGTGTTTCCGTCTTGAGCTGTACCCCTTTGGTTCTAGCTTGTACGTGTTTTTTTTTTAATATTATCGCAGAACGGCTTTGGAAGCCCTGCTGTGGATTTGGCAAAAATGCCATATGGAACGATCTCTGATTGAAAATGCTTGAGCTGTGTATCCCTCGCCGCGCACAAAACAAGCTGGCGGTTTATGTTGTGCTTCGCTCAGCAAATGTTTGACAATTGCCTCATGTCCCAGGGTGTGCTCTCTGGGTTCTCGCGGGGGCAGGTATTATCAGTTCTATCTGCAGCGCCCCATATTTTTTGTCCCTCTTGGTTATCCAAATCTGTCCATGCACACACGAACACCCTCCCCGCTGTTAACCGTATATGACACAAGATAACGCACCCACCCCTTGGACCGAGTTTCAAAGCTCGATTACTCCACGACGAAGAGGAATCATGATCGAAATGAAACATTTTCGAAAAGCTCTCGACGAGATGGTTCCAACGCCGCTGTTTTCGGCGCTGTGACTCTTCCTGCTGTTCAAAGCTCGGTCAAGGGGGTGTGTTATCTTGTGTCATATATACGGTACGCATCTAACCACAATTAATGAGTGTGGGCATGTACGCGCCGGATGTAACCGAAGCAACGAACGAACAATACCAACGCGACTTGTTGTGTGATGTTCTCTGGGCTATATCATGATACAGTCCGATACCATGTAGTATATGAGGCTGATCGAAGTATTCGGCTTAGCTTCACTGATATTCCTCGCGCTCTCGCGCTCTTGTGCCCTTTTCGTGACCCCCCCTTTTTGACGTTTTTCGTGCCCTCTGCAAGTTTGTTTTGCCGCCTTCCGGTCTTACTTTTGTGCGTCGCCGCCGCCGCCGCTGCTGGTTGTCGTCGTGGTCGTCGTTGCTGTTGTTGTTGATGCTGCTGCTGTTGATGATGATGCTGCTGCTGCTGTTGTTGTTGCTGCTGCTGTGTTGCTGCTGCAGATACCCTCATCGGGGTAGACTTGAGCGAGGGGATGCTCGAAGCCGCGTTGGATAGAGGTGAGACTGGAAAAAGCTCATGACTTGCTCAGCGTTAAATCATTGCGAACTGGGACGGCCGTAACCCTTTCAGATCGCGTGCCTAGACAGGAAGGGAGAGCCGTGCCGCAGATGCCATCATTTCGGCGTACAGCAGCGGCTGTAAGAGTAGATACCCTCGACGGTACTGGAGCATGCTGGACCCCCACTGGGGGCGGGGTGGTTGATGCGATTTCTTGGTCGTACACTGAAGAAAGTCTCGCCGTTTTTCGCGGCGGGTGCACGCCAATATGACACCCTCGTTGCTGTTGCTTTCTCTGCGACTATATCTCGTATCATCCCGATCGGTCTCTTCCGTTACCATTGCGTTTACCAATAAGCGAACACAGCCAGCTTAGCAAAATTCGCGCAGAACGACAAGAACGATGGGAGGTAGACGACCAAGGCGCTTGCGACAAGATGCAAAACGTGGTTGATAGGTTGGACCGAAAGCAAAAGCTGAGCGGAGACCGGAAGTTGTATTAGCTCAACCACGCCGAAGGCAGCACAATGGAGCGGCATTGATGCCCTACCCTTTTCGCACTCTTGCACTTTTAGTCTATTTTTTATTTGTTTTCACACATACCTCGTGTTTTGTCTCCCGGTACAATGAAAATGCGTTGGGTTTGTGACCTCTCGCCGCCGTTCGCTCTTTGATCGAATCTGAGTTGAGACAATACATAGGGTAGCCGGCAAAACAAGCCTTGTGCCTTTTTTAGATAAGTTGGGCGTTGGCCATTTCAGAGGGTGTACGCCGGAGCGGGGGGCCCGTATCGCATTTTGAGTTGGTCATACTCCTCACCCTCAAAAAGGCACGTGCTGAAACCGCAGCATCCTGACGGATGGAAGGAACATGTGAAAACATAATATTCTTCGTCGCTTACGTTGCGTTTTGAACTACATGATTTTCACACCGAAGTGGAGATTCTCCAGCAACGCCCTAATCCCGCTCCCCTTGCGTTGCCCTCTCGTATGATGATTGCGCTGCGGCGTCAGATGTGTACGACGCGCTGGCTGTTGGGGAGATAGGGGAGATTCTGCGAATGGTGAGAGCAACGAGTCACGATATGGGTTCCAAGAGCATCGGAAGCACTTTTTTACTACACTGGCAGACTCTTGTTTCGATGGTCTCCGTATTATTTTCTTGCTACCTCCCGCGCCTTCACTATTATAGTATACTCATGAGCGGCAAGGAGGGGGGGCTCTGGGGACGAGAGAGGGGGGAGGGGGGGGGATGCTGCGTGTATGCTGTGTGGCCTTTGTTGGTGGTGTTTCTCTAGTTTATCCCGCTTTTTGCCCTGCCTCTTCTTTCCCCCTTTTGGCGCCCGCTCTTGTCGCACCTCAACACCGCCAACAACGCCAACAACGCCAACAACACAGCGGGCTGGCGAGGGAGTACGGGGGGACCTTGTGGTGGCGGCGGATGTACTAGTGTGAGTGGCGTTTACGCAATACCATGACTTTTGTTGTCTGATGTCCTTGGCGAGAGAAAGTCCGTCTCGTGCGGGTTCCTATGTCCGTGGTGCAACCAGGCTCTGTCAGCAGTTTTTGTTATCGTTCGGTTGTTGCTGCCCTGCGTGAGCCAAACTTGTTACTATTTTTTGCTAATGTTTGGTTTGGTTTTCCCTGTGTGGCGCCCGTACGTTTGTGTCGACTCTCTCACGGCCACCTACGCGCGGTACGAAACAGGTACATCGGGGAGTTGGAAGACATTTTTGTATCGTCGCGGGAGTACCTCGGTGACGGAGGCGTTCTGGCGTTCACGTGCGAGCTCATCGCTCCGCAAGACTGCGACGAGGCGAAGGCAAGACACGGAAAAAATGGACTTTGTTAGCGATAGTGTTGATGCTTGCTGTTATTATGAACGTGTTGCCGTTGGTGTGTCGTTGTCTTTTGATCTCGTCGTTGTCGTTGACACCTAACCGTTTTTTTGCTGATGAGCTTCTGTGCGAGCACATCTCCTTTTGCTGACGAGCTTCTCTGCAAGCACGTCTCCTCTTTGCTAATGAGCTTCTGGTGCAAGCACGTCTCCTTTTTATCGACCCACCCCCATCACTTTGATGCTTCACCGTAATCCGAGCGTTGGCTCCGCTTGTTCATGAACGAATCCCCCGGCCATCAAGATCAACACCTGTTTCCGTCCCGCGTGGCTCCTGCCCGAACATGCCCGTCTTGTCTTTCGACGCACAGGGGTGCAAGGGGTGGCAGCTGCTGCCGTCGGGTAGGTTTGCCCACACCAAGGGCTACTTGCACCAGCTGGCGGAGATGTGAGATGACGACTTTTCCTGACCTTGGAAGCCCCGAAGCACAGCACATCGGACAGACGAGCAATCCCCTCGACATTTGCTCTGCATCCTGCCTGCGGCGTGTGTGGTGGTGTGCTCGCACGGGCCTTGGTTTTAGCTTCCTTTTCAATTTGGTGCCGTTCCACACCCTTCGCCGCAAGGAGTGACCAAGCGAAGAAGAAGAATCCGCCAACCCCTCGCGAATCACGAACTACTGTAGATCATGAGCCCATTGAGACCCACACACCTCTACCGTATTTGTTACATGCGCGTGCCCGTTTTGTGTGGTATGTACCCGTCGAGATTCCTTCAGCTATGACAAGCCTCTGGGCGGCAGCTGACGTTTTCACTTCCATATGCAAGTGAATATGTGGGGCTGACATAGAGCCGCCCGTGGGCGTACAGAGCTTGCTGCCCGTTGTTCGCTTGCTCCACATCATCTCTCGTCGATCTCTTACGTGGATATTTCGTTGATGAAGCCTTTTCAACGTCGTAGGTGGCCGTGCCAATAGTTGTCGCCGTGAAGCAGAAGTCACCATTCGAAACACACCCACACATTGACTTCTTGGTGTTTTGGTTCATCATTGTCAGAACGTGGATCCTTCTCAGACACAAAACTATGCAGCATGCTTCACCCCGTCTTGCAACACGCAGTGGCACACCAGCAGAGGCTGCGATTTTTTCTTCTCTACCAACGCGCGCGCGTTTGCTGTGCTTGATTCCGATGACGCCGGTCGTTCGTGCTGCCCGTTTGCAGGTTCGGGTTTGACGTGGCACACTACCGGGAGATGTCGCCGAGAAAAGAAGCAGGGTCACCGGTACAAGGCCAGCTCATCGCGCTGGTCAAGCGGGGGGAGGGTAGACAACGCCAGCCAGCACAAGAGGAAGAGCAAGAAGACGTCTCATCAGAGCTGTAGATAGCTTTGGCTGAAGTTTTGACACAGGGCGGGATGCCGCGGCTGAGGGCTAGGAGGCAAGCGCTTGTTGCCTTGCATCCAATGTTGGCTTTTCTCGAGGAAAGTAGACTGAAATAGAGTACAAGAAATTACCCCCGAAACTTACTAGTTATTGAGAGTGAGTGCGCTCGTCTGCGGGAGACCTGAAACTCCGGAGGATGGTGAAACAGACAAGCCTTGGCCCTTGCCCGTGTTTCGGACGTGGCCACACTACGCCACCGTGGTCCTCCCCGTTCCAACCTTGGTCACGGCAAAGAAAAAGCCGAACACAGTTCGGGGGCGGACATTGAACGGCGATTTTGCCCTTACGACAGGCCTTCGGCTGAACTTGACACCCGACGGCATAACCCGGGTTTTTCATCCTGTGACTGTCACGCTCTTGACCTGTCGGGCTTGAGCAGGCTGCCGGTGGCAATGCACCGAAAGGTGTTGCGAGTGCGATGGTGCTTCGGGCGTGCCGGTCACACACCGCCCCAGTCGACTCGGCATCTTGTGGTTTAGCCGTCGTGACCCGAAGGATTCAGCGCTTGAACGCGGCCTTGTCCTACCAGTAGTGACCGATGCTGCGTTCTCCTTTGGAAGCTTTTGCGTGGGTCGTGGCCTGCTTCGTCTTTGACGCCGCCCGTCACGCCTTTTTCGGAGGTGTGCTGTCAAGCATGGTGTCTCGTGAAAAATTCAGGCCCGGTGAAACGGAGCGCGGGACATCGATCTGGAGTAGGCCTTGTCCCCTCGACGTTTTCCGAACAGCCGTGCAACGGTGTTGGGAGCGGATAAGAGAATCAACACGGAGGCCTTTGCGCACGACGAGTGGCAAGTGCATTGGTGTGGCACGTGGCTATGACCATGTCTGCCCACGATGATGGTGGATCACAAGCAGATCCTTTCGTAGCATGGCGCGTAACTTCAATGAAACATGAACGAAGCCTGTGAACATGTAAGGCCTCCAAGTCGTTTGGAAAACCAAACTGATGTTATGCCCTAAGTTGTCGTGAATGCAGCAAGCACACAACTTTCCCGAACGCGAGGGCACGAAACCCCCAAAGCTGTGTCGAGGCCTACCACCTACCGCTGCTCGCTCGCTCCGCACCGACGTCTACCGCGCTTGGTGGGCTCGGCAGACTCTCTGACCAACTTACATACTCTGCTTACCATGCATAACCATGAGCATGGTCGTCAGCGAAACAAATCGCCTCCGGCAACACGACGAACGAACGTCTTTTCTATGGGTCGGTCCCTTGCGATGGACATCAACTAACTGTTTCATTCCAAGTTCGTGCCGATCGACTGGAACACTGACTTGTACCACCCCTCCACAAAGTATCACGAAAGCAAAGACCGGACTTCTACCAACTGGAGGGACGATGTTCTTCTTGGGAAACCTGCTGCTGCTTTGGTTGCATCATGTTAATAGTGGACAACATAGTTGCATACCCTAATTGTGTATATGGTGGCCAACAAACGGTATCATTAGGGGCACGATACTTGGGGAGCAGCCGTGTCACGAGATTCTTGAACCGCCATTTAGGGCATTCCGCCAAACAGGGAATCGCTAAGCCCGGACCACGACTGCACACTTCCGAGAAAATTCCCACCACCCTATAGCAGCGCGCGTTCTCCGCAAAGGCGCAGCTCACGCCCAGCCTGTCCTTGAATCCTTAGCCAATATACGGCCCATGCGCGCTGCAGCACCTCCTACTCCCACCACCATCTCTCATCACCACATGGACAACCACCTCTTTCTCAAAGGCAAAAACAAGAGTCAAGTGCTTGCTTTCCTTGCCGCCCGTTTCGGCCGTAACGAGGTTTCAGCACGTACATACGTGAACTTCACGAGAACAGCGACACCATCAGCGTCCAGAAACCAAAGGCTTTTGCCAAAGGCGAATGGAGTTGGACCTGTCTCGACCACCGATCGACGCCACCTAGAACACCATCGCCCCGAGGAAGCTCTTGTTCTTCCATGGCTGCCAGTGCTATGACATCTGAAGGTGGTGTTGGCGGACCCGCCTTACCAGTGATCCGGCCTTCTGCGCGTCGCTCCTTGCCGCCGTAGTCGTCGCAACTCGCATCTCGCTCCTCTAGACGTGAACAACCAAAGATTGTTGCACGTGGGTTTTGGTGGGGTATAGCGGCGTGCTCATTCTCGAATATCCGTCGATTCCGCCCCTGCGTGGATTCACTTTAATATGGGTGCGCAAGGACAGGCAGACGGCAAAAAGTTGACCGCGACGACGTCAATCGATGGCATGAAGAGATGAGGCCCGAGACTACCCCGATAACCTCAAAAAGAATATAATGAAGTTGCCGACATAGTGTATGCCATGCGTGGCGCCTCTCCGAAAAACGCGGGTGTCTCAGGGAACGAGGTAAAGATACCGAACGACGAGCAATCACCTACCTGCGTGCCCTATTATTTCGACAGCAGCACCGACCGTACAACGTTCTTCGTAGCAAACAGCATGACTCCGTTTTGGCTCAAGATGTACCATCGAGATCTTCATAAAAATCGTCCGTTTCACGCCACAATGAACCACATTCACTCCCGCATACGCCGCGGGCCTGCTATCTCCCGTACTCGCACTTCCTTGCCCAAAGAGAGAACGAGTTGTCCGGCTCGAAATGGCAGGTTCAATGCATTACACACGGGAGTCAAGCCCCAAACTTCCAGTGTGGTATGAACGCGGGGACGTTTTTTTTTTTTTTCTTAGTATGACACAACGAAACCATCTCTATCATAGAAAAGAGTCTGAGACAGATTAGCAATGGATTAATAGCGTCAGAAAGTACCTGCATGTCTACGATTTCCCAGACAGCATAAAGGGACATCTCCCCTGCGGGTAACAGGCTCAACAAGACAGTTTTTACAATTTTAGAAGACTGCCGACTGCCGACCGCGAACAAACGGACCGCGAACAAACGGGCCGCGAACAAACGTAGAAGTACAGACTATTTGTGAACCTTCAACCGGTTGTTGTGAATGAGTGTACTACTGTAGACCCATCTTCATTTCTTCTCGCACTCGCTGCCTCCATTTTGTCAATATAAGAGCGCCAATCCGCCCCGGAGGTCTCGCCAATGCTCGCCACCACTCCGCGATCATCTTTGGTGCTCTCCGTCTCGGCCTCTCTCTCTCTCTCTCTCTCTGCCCAAGAATGCGTGTAGGTTGTAGGGTGTAGGGGCGTAGGGTACTGCTGTGCTGCTGCGCCTGCTTAGAACTCCCGAGTACTGGTTCGAAACCTGTCACCTGGAAACCTGGCACCTGGCACGCACCTCTTACTACACTGTTGTACCAGGTGCGTGCCAGGTGCGTGCCAGGTGCCAGGTTTCCAGGTGTACTACTACACATACTGCAGCTGTAGCTGGACGCTGGTACACCCAGACACCCCGAGAAGAACCGGTTCGAAATCAGAACCGACAAAGGACGTACAGACACACATTCTTCAACCTTCACCCATCTATTATTTCATTATTTCAAATATCATGTCCTCCACTTCATGTGGGGCCATGTCATCGAAGCGTCAACCTTCCTTGTCTTCAGTTTTTCTCCGCCGTCTGTTGCAACATAGATTTTCCTCTCGCTCCATTCTTGGCCCATGGATTGTTCTTTCGACTGCAATCGGCCGGGCACATGCATGCATGCATGCTCGGTCGTTGTTGTTGTTTGTTGTTGCTTTGTCGTCACGTCACAAACCGTTCCAGCCTCGTACCGTGCTGACATCCGCACCGGTCCAACAGACGCGGACGCGTTCCGTGGACACAGGCCAACAACTGCCCCAAAGGGTTAGTATTTGTAGACATGAAACGACGTCAAACAAACAGAAAATGGACCCAGAATCCTCAAACAAACGCGAAATGTATGTAGCAGGCCACAAGAACACTAGCCATGCGAGAGCGGGGCGGTCGCCGTGTGAATGCTTCTTCTTTATTTATGGCCGTCCTCAAATAAAACCCAACGAATCATCTTGTTCAAAGACCGCGAAAACACCGGTTCTTCGCAGTCACTCAAGGCCGAGGAGCAAAGAATTCATTCAAGAAACTTCTCCCCCCCCCTCGAACGCTGGCGTTCGTTGGTTTGTGCTTGATTTGAGAACATTACATGTGACTCCTTCCGTGCAAAGACTTCACAAAAAAATGTCATCCTATTCCCACAGAACACATTAACACTTTTCGAACGATGCGATGTATCTCACACGCACAAACTGGTGGTGCTCTGTGTACAACACGTTTACACGTGATGTGGCCAACCTGTCGAATGTAATACTCGCAAGAGAGCGGTCGACGTGGTGGCGCGTCAATGGGCTCCTTTAGTCGTCTTCCTGTACCCTCAACTCAGTAGAAGGCACACCATCGCACGAGAGCACTCATCACTCATATCCGTCACACGGAGACGAAGGGTGTGCGGAACCAGTTTTTCTTCCTGACAAGATCTCGCGCAAAATCAGAGGCACGGGAGGCTCTGCCTGAGATATTGGTGGGATCACCACCCCGTGCAATGGTGGCACACGCCCAAGCCACGGTGCACGGACTGGCCGCAAACACACGCGGGCCAGTGACGGCGTACAGTATAGCGAAACTCTAACGAGGGTTATTCCATGCTGATGATCCAGCAATGGTGGTAAGTCCAACGATTCGAGCTATTTCACACTGTACTGATGCTCTGTGTGACACTGGGATTCAGATATATATGCCGTTTCCCAAAATTGAGGTTCCTCAAAAACCGTTAGACCGCAGTTAATAGCGTCGTGGAGGTAGGAAGACTTCGCGTACCCCGTCAAACAGGGTCCTCTGGGGGCATGGCCACAGTTCGATCAACAACAACCGCATCCGGAAGAGCATCACAACTTTTCATCCATACAGAGAGGAAATCGAACCAGCCCCCCATCAAGACGTGCCCGAGAAGAGCAAAATACAAATGTGATGTCAACACTTCGCGGAAAGAAACAAGACATTGGTGGGAGTTTACCGACAGGAGCCACGTTGGTGCGGTCCATTAGACTAAATCTTCTGTCGTCGAGCAACCTATCGTCGATCTCACAAAAAAAAACAAAAACGCCCAACCCCTGGACGACAACGCCCAACCGCGAAGAGACCCCAGTCATCCCTCCGCTTCAACGACACATGTTCGAAATCAACCACGTTGCTGCGAACAATTTCAGAGGCGGCCACTGGGATACCTACTCGAGAGAGGCCAGCCAACCAAACGCCTCCGAGGGAGGCTCTTCCAAAAAACAGAGCGAGCACGCCAACAACCCAACGCCGCCCCTGGCGGCAACACAGCCTACGAGAGCCTCTGCTGCTGCCCTTGCATGCCACACTCGCGCGCGAGACAATCAATTGTAGGTGCTGTGGGAACTAAACTTGACGGCAAGCTCTTCGCAAGCCGGGAGTGGGGTTGTCTCCATCTCCAAGATGAGCTGGTCGTAGGCCTCGCTGTCCATCGTTCGTCTTTTTCGCTTCGCCTGCGGGCACCAATATGTCAAAAAGCGGGGCGGGGCGCGAGGGGGCGTACTCTCATGTTTTGCGTGCCCCAGTTGTTAGACCACGCGTCCTCGAGAGGACGGATCAATTGTTCCCACAGGGCCGATCACCGATGGCCAGTCGTCCCTTCCCGCTTCGCGTACGGGGGGAAGGTGTGTCTTACGAAAACCAGAAGTGGAGTCAGACCACCCTAATGCTGTTCCTGATACACGAAACTGCGATATCGTTCGTGCACCCCCGCATTCCAAAGGTCGGGGTACCTGGTGCAACTAACTGCGAGAACTTTCTTTGTAGTTGTCCTGCATTCTAACGGTCGAGTGTGCCCTCGACCTAGCATGCGCGGGGGTGAACGAATACATTGGCTCGTGCGCTTGTAAAATGCCACGAAACTCCGGTACACCCGAAGCCACACCGTGTTCATCGTCATCACTCAGCAAGCGCGCGAGGAGGGTACGATTGAGCGCGCTGCTATTTTACTACTGCTGCTGCTGCTGCTTTGCAAGGAACACCGCCTGAGCAACGTAAATAAGATAGTCGGGAAACAGGGACAGAATCCTTGCGGTCATAGCTATGACGGCATGCTGCCAACGCAGGGAAAATAACGTTCGACTGGAGTGAGCGCGCATGAGCCACGCGATGCAACCCACGCGATGCAACCCACACAGGGAGCAAAACAAGCCCAGCAACTGGCCTACATACGACGACAATAATATCGACTGGAACAATGGCGACAGTACAAAAAGAAAGAAAACTACGAGTCGCAGCTGCAGCAGCAGCATCAGCCAAGAACGGCAAGACATGAGACGATACGCCATTGCAAAATACCAACTGAATACTTGCCTGCGCCACCCTTGCTTGAATGTTCTGTCGCAAGTAGTTGCACTCGAATCTCAATCTGGTCCTGTGTTGTTCCGTTACCGCAACTTCCACCTGTGAGACCGGACGAGGCAGCACATGGCCAAACGCAGCCCCGTCCAGACGATGAAAGTGTGTCGCCAGGAGCGAGAAGCGATTGGGTGAGGGCCGATCGGTGGGGCGGAGCATCAAAGAGCAAGTCCAAGTACCAGCCGCACTAGCAGGCGGAATGGACCGGCGTCCATGACGGACACCATTGCACGGGTCAGAGATGGACGCGATGGACCACAAGACTGGAAAAAAGCTTGAGCTGACGTGCCACGATCGACACCTACACGAGGTTCGAAACTACTCACCCGACAGCTCAAAACACTCCCGAGCCCCCTCCCCGAGTGACAAGAACAACGGCACACCGACGATTGTGCGGAACGAAAAGGTAGACAGCTTACCCCGTCCAAAAAACGGCCAACTCACGCACACGGGGCAAAGATTATAAGAACACAGACACAATCACCCCCTTTCGGAAGAACCCTTCCCCTTTGACTAGGAAGTGTCAGTATTTTTTTTTTTCCCACTACAAGACTGACGTGTTAGACTGACGTGTTCTCACTCGTCAGACGGTTAGCGCGGCCGGTGCTAGTTAAAGAAAAGACGCAGTTTGGTCGTCCTAGAAAGATGTACCCCTCTTCGGGCAGTTGGCTTGTGACCACGAAAGACGTGCGCGTCGGTTGTACCAGCACCGATATCATACGGTACCGAGCGGAGACCGGAATGTTCTATGTCAGTGTGAAGACAACAGCAACAGCAACAGCAACAGCAACAGCAACACCACGCGACATGGGCGTCTACAAAATCACTCACCCTCCTCAGCCTCTCCGCGTTGGTGGCGTACTTCTGTCGGAACTTGGGGGCGACGAAGTAGTCTATGCCACCCACGACTCCCTTCTCCTGCGTGGTGGTCTTTGGAACCTTGTACGCGGACGTTCTCTCAAGGCTTGAGCGGCAGACCAAGATGAACACAGGGCGAGGGCATATGGGGGGAGGGGTCAAACTGTGCGCTCCGAACACATTATTAACGCGCCCCCCAGAGGCAAAAATATTTCATCCAAGCTGTGCAGACACAGTTGACATGATTAAACGGCGGTTACAGGGGGTGACGGGGGGTTGCTCCTGCACGGTCACCTTCCTCTTGGCGCCCGACATCCGAGGTTGAAAACATCGACATGTGGACACAGCAGCAGCAGCGTTTTCTCATTGTTCGAGCCCAGGATAGATTCACCACGAGCAAAAGAGGGAACGCAAAAACGATGACCAGCACTTCGAAGCACCAGGTCGTCTCAACTTCTACAACAACATCCGGGCGCTGGCTACACTCGGAGTATCTACCACCACCACTTTAACACCACCACAGCCGTTCTTGGCGTAGAGGCATCATATCACCGCCAGCAGCGTGAATCCGAAAGTAAACCCTGCAAACACTGGGGCCAACAGGTGCACCAGCCGAGATCCCTACAAATGCATGCAAGAACTCACATCCATTGGGCGTTACACTGCATCAAACATTGGCGGTACTGGGCATACCTGAAGGCGGCCTCCTGCTGCTCCCCGCCGAAGAGTGTCAGGAACATGAGCACGATCGCTCCAAGCAAGGGCAACAGATTCATCCCCCTGCCATAAAACAAGCGGGCAGGGCACAGCACCGTTCGCCATCAAGACAAAAAAAACATTAAGCTTTCCATGACAACGACTCCCTCTCGTGCGTGTCTCAAAAGCACCATTGTATCGTCAAGCCCGCAAAAGCACCATTGTATCGTCAAGCCCGCAGGGGTTAGGAATGAACATATATTGTAGACGAAACCACCGACCCTAGCTCCATGATCACGACCCAGCAAAAAATGTGTCCCTTTCACACCCTCTACAACATTTCGTCACACCAGCACCTTCACGGAGGCTTCAAGAGGTTCGGAGCGTGCACCACAAAACTAACGAGATCTAAACCACAGCTCCCTGATCATGATCCAATAAAATTTGTCCCCTTGCACAACGTCGCCACCTCTCCCAGCACCTCTCCCAGCCGCCGCAACCTACACCACCACCACCACCACCACCACTCACATCGCCCCCTCTTGCCCGTTGCCCCCCCCTCCTCCCCGATCGACGCCTCCGCCGGCCCTGTATACCCGCGTGTTGAACGATGGCATTCCCCCCCGGCCCTGTCGTCTACGTGCCCCCGGCGGCTGCCCGAAGAACATGTTGAAGATATCTTCCGGAGAGACTTCGGCGCCGTAGTGGTGGCCTCGCCCGAACGGCCCGCCCCCCTGCCCCCCTCCGATTCCCTGCACGTGAGTTGAGCACAGCCAGATGTCGGCCGGCGTCATCAGCGAGTTTGTATCATGGTCTATATTGGTAGCATCGACCGCGTAAACCGGCTGACCAATGAAAAGACGTCAGTCTTCGTGCGGTTGAAAACACCAAACACTTATATCTGCCATGAACTGGGGCCCCGTGAGGGGGCAGCATGGGTGTGTGTTTGTGTGTGTAATTAGCATCAACCGCGCTAAGCCTGCACACCAATGAAAATGCGCCAGAATGACAGCGAGATAAAACTCACTCCCCACTACATCTCCCAACACACCGACACCAACAAAAACTGAGCAAGAGAGAAAAACAGAGCGAGAGCAGAGCATAGCCCGTGTGCTCTGTTCGTTACCCTGACCAACCACAGCCCATCACAACAAACACAAGCACGAACGATCACTCATACTCCTGGTACACAACAGCAGTGTCGCCTGACACAGCACGCGTCCGAACGCACCCCGGGACACAAAAACTGAAAAAAACACAGCAAAAGATCAAGAACCCGAGCGTACAAGAGCCCGTTTGTTCCATTCGTTACCATGACCAAACACAGTCTGACACAGCAAACCCAAACAAAACGTGATAGATCTTAGCCTAAGCTCGTGTGTTCTGTTCGCTACATACCCTGACCAAGTACAGCAGACCACAGCAAACACAGACACAAGAAAGATCACCGGTACGACCTAGTGCAATCACTGACACGAGATATTGTAACGACATGTTTTAGTATGTATCTCGTATCTCTCACCTGTGGTCCGTCGCCGTCCCCGTAACGGTCGTAGTGGGCTCTCTTGTCCGCATCGCTCAACACGGCAAACGCGGTCCCGATCGCTGGGGAGGGATACAGGGGGCGGCGGGATGCAACAGCTCAGGCGTTTCCTTTTAAGACACGTCCTGTGTCAATCAATCATGGTGCGCCTCTCGCGTTGTCGGGTGTTGCACAGCAAGGTTGTAGGCAGACACGAGGAAAAAGCACACACAACACATGGACCCGCCACAGAATGACAGCCAAGTGCCGTGCGGGGGGGCCGTGCGGGGGGGCCGTTGCCGCTTGTATCAACCACCCATGGTAACCACGGGAGGCAGCTGTGGTCCTGGTTCAACGTTTTATCATGTGGTGTCACACCGCCGTCATATCACAACGCTTGGTGACGTTCACGAACATCCATGGACACCCACCCGGCCGTGGCAAGACGCTATCCCCAGAAAAAGCAGATACTACTGTCAGACGTCGAATATGCGCAACTGTGCGAAATGTTCACCACAGCAGTTCCGTGGCATGAAAAAAAAAACTGGGAAGCCTTGAGGTCGCTGCTCTACGGACCCCCCCCCCAAAAAAAACTCGGCAGCCGACCCGCACTCGACAATTCACTCAGTACGAACTACGAGAGTTGAATACATCCCTTCTCGCATTGCAACGATCGGTGTTGAGAAAAAAACACCAAAATCTGACGTCAATACGTCGCCGTGGTGTCTACATCCGATTCGGGTTTTTCCCGTGGTTTTTCCCGCGTAGATACCTTGGAAGGCCTCGTGTGCCTGGGGTGCACCGTTCTTGTCCGGATGCAACCTCAGCGCCAGCTTCCGGTAGGCCTTCTTGATCTGGTCGTCGTTGGCGCCCTTCTCTATCCCGAGCACGTCGTAATGCCCCTTCGCCTTGGAGTTCAGGACCTGCAACCGCCAGAGGTTTCAACCATTGCGTGAACTTAATGAGTTAATCTGAACTCTGTATTTTTGGCTCGTCCTCGAGAACTGGCTATTGGGGGGAACATAAACGTTACAATTGTGTACACATTGACGCCGGCAAGGATGATTAAATGCAGCAAGAGAGGAGAAACGTCCACGTGTGCTGGCGATCGTTCTGAAGACAAAGTAATCGGGAACTGCTGTCATAAAGGGTTAAGCTGGGGGTGGCGCTTTCGTTGAAACTGCTAGTTTATTCCCAGGAAAAGAGACGCACAGGGTATCTGCTCGCGGGAGAGATGCACTACAGCAGTAGTAGCCGTATATGAGAAGTGGGCCAGAAAGAGAGCGGCGGACGAAAGTGCACGTCCGCTTTGGCCAATGGGGTTGCACAGAGAACGCAAAAAAGGCAACCAGCAAAAGGGGTGTCTTTGGAGAGGGAGGGGGGGGGGGGGATGAGTGATGTCATGTTACGTGCCGTCTTCGGGCTTTTAGCCGTAACAATCTCTTTTCCACCAAAGTCGGGTTTGCCGTAACGAAAAGCAGGCACAGCAGAGCGTCGCATTTCCATCAAATTCACGTGCCCGGGTTCATGATCTCGAGCCCTCGCCTCCAAGAAGCAGGCAAGAAACCCACCCCGACATTAAGGTCTACATCGCACGACACGCGACACGTGCCCCACGAACGGTTCGCGCTACTGCTGTTTGCTGTGCGCCGGTCACGCGGGAGCGGCTGTTCGTCACTCCTTGCGGTGGGCATAAACAAAAGCACAGCCCAAAACGGGTAACCGTGCCGAACGAAGCAAAGGGAGTGAGCCGTCATGGCAGAGCGGACACGAACGCAAACACGCAAGACGCTAAAAAACACGAGACAATACACGTCCGCGCGTGCGCAAAAAATGGACTTCCTACTTGTGTATTTTGACCCCCCCACCCCCACCCCCACCCCCACCCCCACAGTACGTATCCCCCGATGTACAAATATAGTATAGTGCTGAGCATGTGTTCTGTCCTGTTGTGGTCTGCTTCGCCTGCCTCTCGTTGCCGAAAAACACCGCTCCGTTAGAGAGGCTCACCCACCTGCTTAACCATTCGCTCCTGCTCCGGTGTGAACGCCCGTCCGCTGCCCCCGCCCCCTCCCGCCGCCGCCGCTGCCGCCGCCGGTGCCGGCGCGCTCGTCGTCGCCGACGGTCTCCGCCGCACCCCCGGCGATGCATCCGCTCCCCCGGCGCTGCTACCACTGCTGCCGTTGCCGTTGGCAGACGAGAACGGCGCCGAACCCCCCCCCCCTGGCCCTGCTTGTCTCCGCTGCGTAAGACGCCCCCCCCCCCCGACCATTCGCGCCGCCGCCCGGCGGTACTCCCTTGTCGGGAGCCTTCCTCCTGCTTGCCCTGCACGGGAGGCGGAGGGGGGAGCGAAACGGTGGCCGGGAGACAGACACCCGCAGAGGGTCAGCAGGGCAGCGGGTCTACGGACTAAGGCTTACCCAGCTCTTTTATTCGCACGCATCACGCCTGCCGCAGTCGCGCTTGTTGTACGATATTTTCGTTGTTGGCTCTGCGCTGAGCGTCCCGGAAGCACAATAACAGGACAGGCTGGGGAGTGCTCGAGGGTCTTGTCATGTGCCGCCGTGAGCGGTGACCCGAGATATCAGTCTCTCCCCTCGCCGTGCACGTTCTGCGCCTCGCCGAAACGAACAAAATCCACAACAACACCGAACAACGAAGCTTCTCTTTGGACAAGCCCTCATCCTGCGGAGGGTGGGTGGGTCCTCCTGTCTAGTCTCCCCGTCCGCCCTTTACTCATGGGGAGACCGCCCGGGGGGCGTGAAAAAACTCAATCCTGGTGCGGTACAACCGACGCCTTTTCTTTTGTCAGCGGCTTAGCGCTATCGACGACACTCCACAGAAGCAAAGACACGTAAGACACACGAAACGAACACGCGTGCAAAGCAGCAGCCTTGTTAACACGTGCGGTTTTCTTCTGTTACTCCCGTCTATGTTCGTAAATTCGGAGAGTAGCTCAGCCTCCCTCATGAATCACCCTCACGGGGTCCCAGATCACGGCCTTTGGAAGCATTCAGCCGCGCTGAGACTGACGTCTTTTCATTGGTCAGCCGCTGTAGCGCTATCGATGAGACTCAGCGGAAACGCGCATACCTTCGCCAGGTCAAGCAAGCTCTCAACCCCAGGCAGTGGGTAGAGTCTCAGACTCTTCTCGAAGAACCGCACGGCCTTGCCGTGCTCCCCCTGCTGCAGAAACTTCGCGGCCAGATCCCGACATTTTTCCGCCTCGTCCTTGTTCGCCAGCGACCCCGCCATATTGGATCAGGAAAACACACCACGACCCCCCCCCCCCCCCCCGGGCCAAAAAAAAGGGAAAGGTTGGGGGGGGCGGGGAATCTGGGTTTTCTCTCTGGCTCTCCCGCCCAACGCCGGGCCCGGCCGGGTGTTTTGTCCCCCCCCCCCCGCCCCCCCCCCCAAAATGTCCCCCCCCCCCCCTACCCGGCCCACTGGAGAAAAAAAACCCCTGGGAAAAAGGGTGGAGGGGCCGCCGGGGGAACCCCCCGGTGGGGCTGCGATTTCTTGGGCCCCGC